CATTCCTTTTTTTCCCTTCTTTGATTAACGTTCTTTCAACACATATTATTCGCAAATTGATCGATTCTATACGTATACCCGCGAATGAATCTCTATCACATGAACCTATGAACATGATCGCACTTGGAGAGAGAGAGAGAGAGAGAGAACCAATAGTTAAAGATATAGAGGTTGATCGGGCCAACGGTTGCTTGTGTTGCAGCACCTACTTCCCGTGCGTTGTATGGTTTTGATGTTGAGACGCGGTGCGTAATACGCATGGCAAAGGGGAAATGGGGAAAGGTCCTTTGTGCCGGACCGTTGTATATGGAAAAGTGTCCGTGTATATGCGCACCCGTGAAAAAAAAAGAGGGACAGGAGGGGTAAGGCGAGGTCTTGTAAATTGAAAAGCAGCGACCCCGCGTTTTGGCGACGTATACAAACGTACGCGCATTGTCCTCTTTTCCCGATAGCCATGGCCCATTGTTCTTTCCTGTGTACCTATACGTACGAGAGAAGCGTATAACAGGCGTAATCCGATTTTAAAGGGTGTTAGAAACGAAAAAATGTAGAGAAACGCGAGAGACTGCGGATGGAAAAACGATGCTCTACGTGTGATGACTATACACCTGAGTAATTGTATATACACGTGATTTTAAGCGTTCGTGCATATACGATATACATTATACTTGTTTGCACAATAACTTAGTTTATGTGATCGGTGTATCTTTTTTGTTTCCACGACAAAGGAATGTATATATTGCGAATCGCACAGCTTTGGAACGAAAAATCGGGCATTTTTCAATTGTCCAAAATATTGATTTTGAATACAAATAGGAATGGTCACGTATTTAGCGTATTTCAATACTGAAATACCGATTTTTAACATTTAAAAATTTTTCTTGTGCATTCATTTTCATACATAGTATTTTAAATACATTAATTAAATATACGTGACTTGAGTAGTAAATCAGCACGTCTCACGCAGTATGACCAGGCGCTATATTGTAGGAGAAACCTTGCAAAAGTATTAAGTTCATACTTTTGATGAAAAAGAAAAATTTGTTCATCGTCGCTATGTAAGTAATGAAACCGATTTTATGCCAATTTTAATAGATCATATACAGCTATCACATATAAAATTATTAGAAAGGCAATCGACAGAAGAAACTGTAAATTATTTATCAAAAGAAAGAAAATACCAAGTTATGCACAAGAAAAGTTGAATTACTTCGTTATCGATTTTCACAAAATCTAAGTCATCAACATGTTACTTTCTTAGTAAAATCATCAAAAAAGAGCTGTAAGTAAATACCCTACTTCTGGGGGTTTTCACTTTTAATTACGAATCATTCTCATATCAAGTTCCATAATAGAGTAAGTTGCAAATAATATCCTTTAAACGCGATTTCGTCGAAAATGATGTCATCAACCCTGCAATTTCCGTTTTGCTGTTAAACATAGGATATTGAAATGACAATGACACCAGTTATATATTTTCCTATCACGTCAGCACTTGGTAAAACAAAAAACAAACAATGATGAAGACACTTTGTACAGTATATCTTAAAGTAGCACTTCACAATTCATTACTTTAGTAAAGTTTAATAAATTTTTTTTCCTTTGCTTTTACATTTAGTGTGTTGAGATATGCCACAACGCTTACATTGCAAAGCGAAGCCACTGAAGTCCAAGTCCGTCAAAATCCAATTTTCCACCTAAGCCAACGAACCATGATGAATATGTCACCGAAAAAATAATAAATTGTCACCCACGCGATTGGAATTATTCATAAAAAAAAAAAAAAAAAAAAAAAAAAAGTATCCTTAATTCAAGAAAAACCAGCCCCACATCATCCAAAACGAAATAATCAAGCTTGTGATTGTACGTACATGTGAGTGGACTCATTTTTCATCGTTCTGTCGTGCAGCACGCCAAGTGTCGGGCGGACAGATAGCTAGGGGGTGGGGGTGGGAAAGAAGACAAAGGAGGTGCCAAACGAAAGCCGTAAATTCATTTCTCTCGTCCAATATTCGGGTGAAGGATCGCACACCCCGTCGAGTTGCTGGAAAGTAAGCAAGCACACATGAGGGGGATGGGAAAAAAAGCTCCCTCATCTCGGGCTTCTTCTCGTTTTCTCCCTTTCCCTTCCGATTTGTATTCCGCTGGCGCGAACGGCAGCTTCCTCCCCGAGTGCACGTGTATATACATATATACATTGTAGGGATACTACTCTTGTGATTGCTGCGCGGAGCTGGAACGACCCCAATTGAACGGACAGAAAAACACGTGTACGCCCTTGTTGTGCACCTATTTGTATGCCTTTTGTAGTCGTGTGTACGGTATACCTATACGAGTAACACCCGCGCGTTCTTATTGCTCGTAGTAGGAGCGTGTACGTGCAAACACACATTTGCAGATGGGGAAATAAACCAAGTCACGGCTATTTCGTGCGGGTTTTTGTCTCGATCTTTGAAAACTCGTGAGTTATAGAGAAAACATTAAAAAAAACTAAAAACTTTCAGATTCTAAAATTTGATAATTTTTTGGTCGTCATAAGTACGAGCTTAATTTTCCAATTTTTCTTAAAAAACGAGATAATTTAAATTGAATTTTATCTTTTGACTCAACCAACAATTGTTTAACGCGATTTATCCTCTGCGTATTTTTAGAAAAAGCGCAACCATACATTGAGGGCGTGAAAAAAAAAAAATTTTCCTTACCTCGGGCATTTTTGAGGATCGAGTGAGCCATTGGTATGGGAAAAACAGTATTCGGCACACAAGTTCCATTTTTATAGAATTACTTTGATATAGAATAAAAATTTTTTACTTTTGGAGAAAAAAAAACACAAATAATTTTTCAAAGATTTCGACGTGTACAGCCTGCGGGGCGTCTCCACCTCTTTACCGCCATGTATTTATTTGTATACCTCGCATGTACATGTATATGTACATACACATGTATATATATATATATTATATGCGCGCAACTCGCGGCCGTTACCATAGCACGTCCGTGAATAACCGTCCATTATTTCGAATCACCGTGAATCACCCCTCCCCCCCTATATCTTTTGTGCTCCTGTTCCGGGTTCCTACGTACATCGCGGTGTATAGGTACCCATGCGTGTACACTTTACCGTTGGGCTGTTTGTCGAGAGATAGAGAGAAAGGGAGCGACTGGTGTTAACCCAGTACCTATATATGCATATAACACACGCACACACTGCGTATATATGTACACGCAATTCGTTAGCTGCGCGTGGGCGGCCTCGTTTACTTAACAGCCTCTGCAGCAGCTACACCTCCCAATCGGGCGGGTAAACCTTATGCGCTATATATCTGTGTTTGGCAACTTTTTTTCTTTCCTGTTCGTTCTCATTGGGGGCGTCAAAATAAAAAATAAAAAAATTAAAAAAAATTTAAAAAAAAGAACGGACAAAATGTTGTTTTATTTTCCCATCACTGTACGGAATCGAGGGTGATTTCATACACCGCGTGCCGCGATGGTTAATGATGCAGACCGATGGCGCGCGAGCCGACTGTTGTACGTATATATATATATATATATATATATAACACTGCATATATAGATATGGCTAGAAAGTTGCAGGGGTACCGATATTACGCTCGCGGAATCGTAATGGCCCGTACATGCGTGCACATTGTACTTGTATATAATGCATAGGCACATGCACTGGGTACGTTCTAAATTCTCGGACGCTTATACATGTAGTAGGGGACATTTTTTCAACTTCGTGGTGTATACGCCTGGAATTTTTCGTTTACACACGGGCGTCGTTGATATGTAACCAAGTGTGTTTTTCATTATCGTAAAAGCATCGACGGGACTTTCACATTCTTGGCAGCGGTGATAATTCGATGCATGCGCTTGGCCTTTTTTTTGCATCACGCGTAAGTATTATTAGGTGCAATCTCGATTCAATTTTGTGTATACATTGGAGTGCTCGGACTTCTGACTTTTTTTTTTTTTTTTTTTTTAACATGTTTGTTGTTTTGATGAATTTTAAAATATTATATGGGCATTGATTTTACTGGATCATGTGATTTTATGTAAAATGATGTAGATGTCATAAGTACAAGGATCCATCGTATCCAACAAAAGTACCGCTATGATTTCTTTTTTCTTTTAAACTGCTGAATCTAAAGTTACTCCTCTATTACGCTACCATAATTTACTCCTTGATTATAAGAAAAATGCCTCATATTAAATCTACATTTTGGAATATAAAATCATTGTCGATTTTATTAAAAAAAAAAAAAAAAGTTGTTATGACGCGATGGAGAAATTCGAACTACAAATTTATATTTAACAACCGAAAAATACACTAAATAAAATAAATAAACAAAATACACAAAAATGGCACTACATACACGTACTGCATAGTGCCATTCTTGTGCAGTTTATTTTTTTTTTTTATTTAGTTTGCAGTTTTACGTGATTTCGTATGGATGAACTTTGCTGGCAAAATAACGCTTTCTTCTTAATTCGGATTAAAAAAATTTTCAGTTCAGTGGTCAGTTATAAATTACCCTTGAACATATAAACATTCCAACAAACACAAAACACTCAACGTGGGCAAATATAAAAAAATTGTATTTATCCTGAAATCGCATCAAAATTTCTACTTATGTAATGCAATAATATCTTTATGAAGTTTTTGAGGGCAGTGCGTGGCGCGCATTCACTTTTCAGAGCCGACCGCTCTTTATTCTCACGAGCGCAACTTGGAAAACGTGACAATACCGCGTTCTCTTTTTTCCAGTCCAACATTACAGTACATAGGCCGGGCGTCGAGTAAGCGAAAATCTCGAAAGCTATTTAGTGTCAGGAATGCGCGTTTCGAATTTCCATTCGAGGCAAAAGGGGGAATCCCCGAAATGCTTACTTCGAACTGGAAACCCATCAATAATCGCGCGCCAGTTTGCCAACGACGAGCGTTCGAAATGGAAAAAAAAAATTCGAAACGAGCGCATCGTTAAAGCAAAGACACTTACCTGAGATTCGAAAGTTCGCGGAAGAGTGTGCCAGGCGCACCGGAACTCGCGGACACGTACACAGCAGCGGTAGTTTCCCGCTTTCCCGAATAGAACACGGACGCACACTCTCCCTTGTTCACTGAACTTGCAAAAAAAAAAAAAAAACCACCACCACCAACAGCAACAACAACGAACCAAAATCGCACAAAAATCAAAGGAAAAGAAAAAAAAAAATCAGCACTTGTCGAGAGTACGGATGAAGTTTGGAAAAGCGCGTTAAAACCGGCCAACGGTACGGCAAAGCGGTATAACGGGGCGAGGAGAACAGTTCGCGCGAAACGACGGCCGTGCACTGGCCGACCTGTTTCCCGCGAGGCGCCCACCGACATCGGGCGCACCGAGCACGCCTCGCGAGAGGGACGAAGAGCGGCAAGTATCGCTCGCGCGCGCGCCCGTTTCTGACCCCCTTTACTCACGTACGTATACATATATAAGCGCCGGTCTTCTATACGTTCAAACGCGTACGTGGGTGTACGTTTCGGAATCTCTGAAAAATTCAATGCCTTTTTGGGTGATCATTTTTAGGGATCAACACTGTTCATTGTCTTCGGCTTGGTACTTATCTTTTGTCGTCCTGAAAATAAGCTATAATAAATTTTAATTGTTTGCTTGGGAAGCTTGAATTAAGCTTCAACCCTCACAAAACCATCCTGCAAAATATGCCGCAGGAACCTAGTAGGCAAACCTGCAGTAATCCTTGCAGAGTTATTGCACCCATTTTCTGGAGGATCCTCCTGCAGCTTTATCTGCAGGAACTCCTAAAGACTGGGCTGTCTTGAATTTTCAAGAAGAAAAAGTGTCCAGATCCTATTTATTGAGGGTTACCAGCCATAATTGGCAGTATCATCAATAAAATTTGAGACAGCCCAGTCTTCAGGAGTTCCTGCAGATAAAGCTGCAGGAGGATCCTCCAGAAAATGGGCGCAATAACTCTGTAAGGAATACTGCAGGATTTCCTGTAGCATATTCTGTAGGATTTGCTGCAGGATGGTTTCGTGAGGGAATTTGAGCGCTGGTTGAGTCAAAAAAGTGAATCAGGACGAAATTCACCTTTTTTTATCCCTTGCACGTTCAATGCAACCCTCGGAATATTGCACAATTATTATTTCCACGGAAACATTTGCTGGCACTTTTTTTCTGTTTGAAAAAAATACTAAAATCACTTCAATCTAAATATCTATTTACTTTAATATATGTTGCATATGAACAGACGGATGTCCTTATTGTAAGCCCTGATCAAGTTAAAAATATTAAATTTGGATTCCAAAGGATTCAATTCGGTCCACTATCAATATTAGCCCATGATTAACGTCCTGGTAACTTTTTTGAGCAAACTATTACAGTGTTTGATAAAGTACTTCATTGCTTTTGATTACATTTCAATTAGACATTATAGCTCAATTTACAAAAAAAAATCACAAACATTATTTTAAGCGAACTTTCACTCTTCAAGTGCCACCATTGTTTTTTATGCAGCTTTTTCCAGAATGGTAAAAAAAGGAGTTGCCACGAAGTCATATTCTACAAGCCAAATCAAAAAGAACGAGCTTTGAGCAACGAGACCAGTAAAGAATTTTTACCAAAAAAAAAAAAAAAAAAAAAAAACGAAAGTTTGGTTTTTAAGGGATTTTGACGTGTATATAGGTACGTGTATACCTATTAATGAACGTTCTTTTTTCTTCCTTCTTTCTCTCGTTCTTTGCACATTGGCCAACGAGCTAAAAACGTGTCCGGCTCTCGTCCCTCAAATTGTGTACCCAAAACCCTAAACCCTCCCTCGGTTCAGCCTTTTGACGATGATTTCGTAGAAAAGCATTTGCGATATCTTTTTTCCTTTTCTTTCCGGGATGAATATTTCCCCCCTAAGCTCCGACTGACAGGAGTATTCGTCTTTTACTACAGGGTCGCCGAGTTTGAAGAGTACATTTTGTTACTTTTAATTTCAGTTAACCAGGCGGAACAGTAAAAATAGGCAGGGATGTTACACAGACATCCTTGAGAAAAGATCAGATAAAAACTGAAGATCACAGTAGCAAACGCTATACCTGAGTTTTCTTCACCCACCACACGTGTGTTAAAATCATTATTGAAGCTCAACTGCACTGTAAAATTCAAGTGTGTTGTTCCGGATCAATCGAGCTTATATTTTAAGGTGAAATATGTGAAAGTTTTTCTGTCATGTGTGTGTAGTAAAATAAGAAAAATGTGTTCGAATGTAAATGACGAGCGTTGTCATGTTAAAAAGATGTGATTGATTTTGGTTAAAAAGACTTTTAGTTTTGCCACCAACTTCAAGGACTTAGAGTCAAATTTTGTTTGGCAGCAATAAATATTCTTCAAAATCGATAATTTTCCAAAGATGTTTCTTTCTTTGCGCGAAGCTGACTTTGTCAGCTACATCTGTTTTTAAGTACTCAACATTTCCGTTTTTATAAAATGCTCTATAGTAGTCCTGATAAACGCATTAAGAACAATCAAATTGATGCTTCGTAAACTCCTTCACCTATTCTATTAAACTAAACAATTGTTTTTCTTCAACGATTGACATAAAAAGGTTGTAGAGAGTAAAACATTAATGTCACAGATTTTACGCACTTGTAAACGTGTTTAATCTGTGACAGTCTAGTTTTTTCAACTCCACAGCTTTCCTACATTGGTTTTTCCCATTAAAAAGTATCTAATTCAATGGAACTGGTTAACCACTTGGTGCATTATAGATTTGGTTGTCCTTAAAATTATTATCCTCATCCTGTCCTTAAAAACAAAAATTTCAACTACACAGTTCAAACGTGTACTTTAAAACGCTTGGGTTTACAGTATTCGTGCCTGTGCATAGAATACACGAATCGGTTTTGCAAATAGCTCATACATCTGTCAGAATAACTATGCACGGATAAATAAAACACGGATCGATTTTTCCAACCCGGGAATACGGCTAAAAGCCACACACCTTACCCATCAATAAGTTCACGAGACCGGGGCCGTGCACTCAACGTATCCTGCACTCCTAGGAAAGTACCGATTCGAACGACACGCCGCGTTTGATATCTGCGACGTGACTCGCATTGTACACCCTCTAAAGTGTCTCGCGCGCAAACTATTCACGTGAATCACAGCCGCGCATATACGAGCCGAATACGAATTGCACGAGTAAACACGAAAAAGGGGTGTACAGGAAGAGGAGGAGGTCAAATCACATGAATCACATCATAAGCGCGTGTATGAGATAACTATGGTAAAATTGTACGAGTCGATACGGAAAGAAAAAAAAAAATGATTCAATATACCACGCAGTATGAGGAAAATCTCGGTGCATCGAGGAGCAAACAAACAATGGCCCGACCCAGTTCTCCAAGCAGCTGCCTCTTTCGACCCATTTGCGGAGCACGAGAATCGCTAATAACTCCCTCCGTCGTTCCTTCTAATTAGCGCGGGTGGCATCGACTCTCCCCCGCGTTTGATTCGTCGCGCAAACACTCGTACTCCTTCTTTTGTCCCTTAACGAGCACTGGACACTGCGTGCACACGGTTCGGGTTCGCACTTTGTTTGTGGTGATTCAATTTCGCGCGTTTATCCTTGAAATCGCGGGGGTGGCCTCGACGAAGTCCCTATATTTTAATGAGGTACTTACCGAACAAAATTATCGTACAATCAAGAGTCCACGGTGCTAGTAATGGTTCAGAGCTGCTTTTGTTCCTCGAATCGCTTTTTCCGAGAACGTCGAGGAAAATAGTGATCGTGTCACGAGTTATCCTTTGGCTGTTCGACAAGTGGAATTGAAATGAAAAAACGCCGCAACGCCACTGATAAAAGTTCTCGACTGTGTACCATACGACGAAATCACATAACGTACAAAACGTAATTAACATTTTTTAAAGACAAATTTTAATATTTAAATCATATGGATAAGTATTTGATAGTACTGAGAAAATCATTTATTTGCTTCGTATAACTGCAACATATTCCAGCTATTGAAATTACACATTCAAAAAATTTTTTAAATACTTCGACTCTGAGTTTTTTTAGTTTATTTGTTACTGCTATCAAATTTTACTGCATTTTTTTGCTGAAAAACTTTTGTTAAGCTACGTCAAGTTTTGTTAAGTATATAAAAATAAAAATAATTTTATTAGCAAAGAAATCATATTGCATTAAAATAAACAATGTAACTGCACCCAAGCCCGAGTATTGAGACTATACGCATATACATTATACACTGAGAGAAAAAAATAATAAAAATTATATAAAAATTACCATTGTGCACAGTAAATCGGAGGCAAGCTGGCAAAAGAGGAAAAAATTACTATTTTTAACAGTAAAAACTATTGTTTTAACTTTAATTTTTACTTTTTAAAACATAATTGTAACTATTCAAACGATAATTTTTAGTGTTAAAAATTATAACTTTTCCTTTATTGCCAACTTTTACCCGATTTACTGTGCGGAATGGTAATTTTTGCTAAAATTTCTCCATAATTTTTATTATTGCTTTCTCACAGTGTAGGGCACAGAGTCTTATACTATATACGATTAGCTATTGAAAGTTCCCGTCCATCACCTAATCACGCATAAATCGCTCATATTGTTCTATCGTAAAAAAAATCCACACATGCAAAGACACGAGTCCAATAAAAAAAAGCGGCAGGATATCGAACAAGTGCAAAACAAGCGCCGCTAGTCGATCTCTCGCACCGATCCCGTTCGTGTCGATTTAACGGTCCCCTGCGATGTACTTACTTCGACACAGTTTTACACGATGGCACGCTCTATACACGCTTCCACAGTTTTCTATACAAGCCCATACACACACACACACACACACACACACACA